CACCGCTTCTTCCCTTCACACTCAGACTTCCTGAAGGAACAGCACGATTCAGCTCACACACCACTCTGTGCCAGCCGTGCTGAATGCAAGACAAATATCCCAGCCCAGAGGACCTGATGGCCCACACCCGCCCTCATCTACCCCGATCCGCGCCCAGGTCCCCGCCGCAGCCAACTGTTCTGACCAGGTCTCCAAACCCACCTTGCGCCTCTGTCTACTCGGCCTCCCCGAGTCATGGCAGCGCCGTCTACTGCACTGCCGGGGTCACCTTCTCTGCCTCAGCCCCCATGGCACTTCTCTGCCCGGGTGCTCCTCACACCCCCTTGCTTTTTGGTCTCCTTCACAGCCTGTGCTGTCTTAGCCGACATCACCGCGTCCGGTTCCCAGGATCCAGTCCTTTGCCCTCTTCCCACGGGATCCCCTGTCCCCAGATGGTCTCCTGGAGCCCAGCTGTCCTCCCTGGCTCCACACCCCTCCCTACACCGTCCATCAGCGTCCCTGTCCCCACAAGCGGGGCCAACCCGCCGTCTCCCCCCGTAAGTCTCTTCTCTGCTCGGCGCGCTGTGCCTGGGGTACCAGTTGTCTGCTCCACACCACGGCCCTGCACGTGTCCCTGTCTCCTGGGTCCCCTCAGCCCACACCCGCTCGGCTGCCAGGCCCGAGGATCCGTCTGCCTCCATCTCCCCCCATTCCGTGCTCGGCCCAGCTCAGGCCTGGCTCCGGGACAAGCCTCCGGCCTGGCGCCCCCATCATGCCCAAACCCCAAGGCCCCTTCCTTTCCCCTCGACGGCCCCTGACACGGTCCGGCTGTCCCTGCCCTCTGGGCCTGGGTCCCCCCCTCCCCCGGTTGCCCCAGCCCGGGCCGCGGACTCACCTCTGCGCTGTTCCACGATGGGCTTCTCCGCCTCGTAGTTGTGTCTGCACACCGTGTCCACCTCGGCCCGTTTCTGCTCCAGGACGTCCTTCTGCCCGTTCCAGTACTCGGCGTCCGGCCGCCCCAGCTCCGTCACCGGCTGGAACAGGCCCACGTCGCTGTCGAAGCGCACGTGCTCCTGGCGGTTGTAGATCTGTCTGTACACGTAGCGCTGCGTCCCGTTGCGCGCGTAGCACTCCGCCCGCCTCTGGAGCACGTAGTTCTCTGCGGGGCGGACGGCGCTGATCCCGGCGCCGCGTCCCCCCCTGTGTCTCTCTCAGTATTAACTATTCTCCCCGAATCTTCCCACTCTGGATTGGACTGTTTGGATTTTTAGGCACTATTTTCCCTAATACCGCGTTAGGCCGTCTTAGGCGGCCACACAACCTTCCCAGGACTCGGCCCTCCGTGCCCTCCCCTCCCCCGCCCTGTGAAACGAGAGGATTTCCTGAGTCGCGATGGGACTCCGTGCTCAGGGGCGATTCAGTGTCATTACAGAGGGGTGGGCATCCTGAAGAGAAAGTAGTCACTTCTGCTGGCACCTGGAGGAGAGGGGGGGACTTTTCCTGGGGGGTGGCAACTGGAGGTGGGGAGGAGCTGGGGACCAGGAGGACAGCCCTGTTCTCTCTGTCCCAACCCCGGCCTGTAATTTCCATCCTGGTGACAATCGGGGCTCAAGTGTCACCGCCTAGACGAAGACATCCCTTCTTTTTTCCCCGTTCCCTTTCCCACAGCTGGGAGCTCTCTTCTCTGCCAGTATCTTCAATATACCTCAATTTGCTCTCGTTCTGCACGCTGGAAATGTAGCAGTACATTTCTTAAAACTTTCTTAAAGCTTGATATAAGTGACTTTCTAGCCTGGAAGTTAATATATCTTTTCAGTTTTCAAACATGGCTGTAGAAAGAATGGATCTCAAGAGGTGTGAAAAATCACCACAACATCCAGAGACCAATGGGGGCTGGGGATCCTTGTGTTTAGCGGCATTGGGGGTGTCATTTCATACAGAGGAATGTGGCAGCCTCTGCCACGTGCTGCTCTTCCTAGGGACAGCCACCAGCAGTGTCTGCAGGTGCACATCTACACACAAGTAGCAGTGACCTGGGCCTGCTCTGCTCTTGGTTACATGGGGAAATTAAAGTGGTGTGATCATTTGGGTATCTGTTTCATCCCCTACAAATTAACATGTCAAGGTGAGACATTCCTGCCTTCTTTCTATGTCCAGTATCTAACATAGCTCAGTCAATTTTTCCTTATCAGTGAATGAATGAACCAACGCATAAAATGAATGAGTGTCTGGAACGTAAGAGGGAACTCCAAAAAGTTTACGAGGCATGTTTTTGAAATAGCAGTCTCTGTTACTTCATCACACAGAATATCCAAAATTTCAGTGCTAGACACGACCAATCACACACGCCGAGAGCACCTTTAGTGCACAGGTGTGGCGCTGCTGCACGTGTGCTTGTAAACGGGATGCTCACCTGGTTTGCACTATGTCGGGGGAGACTAAGCGAAAGTGGGAAATGCTAAAACCTAGGATGAGAAGCCTCAAACCCTAGATGAAGGGGCACTGCCTGCTCTAGCCTCAGATACTGGGGAGCCTTTATGAGGGTAGAAGGCAGACCTGGGGTTTCCAAGAGCAAGAAGGGTGTGGTTGCAGGGGTGATCTGTTACCTCTGTCACTATGAAAAACTTGAGTTCATCTGGGGGATTAGGTCCCACCTCACCTGTCACTAGCAGCTGCATAACAAGTGACACAGGACAGTGCAGAAGGGGTGTGGCTAGCCTCGGGGGCACTAAAGTCTTCCCTTAGTCTACAGTGTCATTGCAAAGGCAAGTGCCCATGTCTTGACTCAGGTATCCTGACCTACCTCTTCTCCTAGGCCTTGGGCCCCCGCCCCCATGTCTGCCAGGCCCATCACTCCAGCCCGCTCTGTCCACGTTCCTTCTTCTCTACCCCTGCTGTCTGACCGCCCCACTCTGAACGTGTATCCTGTGATTTTAATCTGCTAGTCCTCGTTTCTCCTCCTCATTTATCAGGAAGGGAACATTTTTCACTCAAGAATAATATTTTTGAAACTATTTTTGGCAATATCTAAC